CCCAGACAGCATCCAGGGGTAGCCACTGCCTTGCACAGGTCATCCTGAGGTGGCCGCAGGCTCTGTCGTCCCCCTGCTCTCCCACAGCAAGCGGGCCCCCAAAGGCATTTTATTACAAGGGAAAAAGAGCCACATACAGAAACACAAAAGTGCATATTTTGTTCTATTTCAAGACAAGGCAGGTGCTGCAGCCCCTAGAAAACATCCTGGAGTCGTTGTGACCGGGAAGCGAGTGGGCGCTTCATGCGCGGAGAGTCATTTCCAAGAGAAAGGAGATGTTTTCAAGGCCCAAGGAATCAGGAGGAGGTGGCACTGGGCAGCACTGGGCCATGGGGTGAGGACCGTCAGCTGGGAAGGTGCCTGGCTCCGTGGCAGCAGGGACAGCGCTGCAGAGAAGTTGCTTTCTGGGTCACCGTGGCCTCTCCCGCCCAGGCCACCATGGTGCCCCAGACCCCGAAGGCCCTTGCAGGGTGAGACCCGCCTTCCCCCCCGCCATGGGGGCCAGGCTGGAGGGCTTCGCCGCAGCCCCCTCGCTGCGCCCGTCCAAAGGGTCATCTGGCAGGCTCTGCTCCCAGGGGAAGTAGCCAGTCAGCAGGCAGAAAAGCAGCACCCCGAAGGCCCAGGCGTCCAGGCTGGTGTCGATGGGCACGCCCTGGGCGTCGGCGGTGTTGCTCAGCTCAGGGGCGGTGTAGGGGATCACCCCGGCCACCAGCTTGAGCTTGGTGCCCCTGGGCCGCGTGAGCCCAAAGTCGGTCAGCTTGATGCGCCGGCACTCGGGGTCGAAAAGCAGCACGTTCTCAGGCTTGACGTCGCGGTACACGAGCCCTCGGCTGTGGATGAACTCCAGCGCGCTGACGAGCCGCGGGGCGCAGTGCTTGGCGGCTGGCTCGGGGATCCCGTCCTGCGCGGGGAGAGAGAGGCAGGCAGCCCTGACGGCTGGGCGCTCACCCTCCCGCGCCGCGCTGCGCCAGACCTTGGCGTTTCTGGTCTGGTACGCCTGAAGCTGCTTCGGCGCCGAGACCCCAGAGAGACCCATGGCCCGTTGCCTGTGTCTCCCTCCCTCCAACCAGCCAGCCCACGGTCCCCGTGGCCTTGCAGCAGTGCTCACCCTGGGCTTGATGATCGAGATGAGGTCTTTGTGCAGTGCTGGTTCACAGAGGAAGCCGTAGTACTGGCTGGACTCGATGGCAATGCCAAACATGCCGACGATGGCAGGGTGGGTGGCGAGGGAGAGCGCCACGCAGTACTCGTACAGGAAGGTGTGCAGCTTGGTGCTGGCTTTGGGTAGCAGCTTGAGAGCCATAGGAGTTCCTGGGGATGGGGAGACTGGGTTAGACTCCCCGGAAAGCTGGTCGCACCAAGGCCAGGCAGAGACGGCACTAAGCAGCCATGGCTCCGGACACTCACAGCCCCAGGGAGGTCCCTGGCCTGAAGCTCTCGGTGGATGTATCCTGCAGGCACCAGATATGGGAGCAGGAGCTGCCGCTGTTGCGAGTTTCGAGCCAGTCAGTGCACGCACAGGAGCACTGGGCAGAGCATTGGAAATTCAGGCTACATGGGCCCATCAGTCTGAGCCAGGACTACTGGGGAAGAGTAGCATCAGGACCTTGTAGGCACTCACGGGATTTAATGGCCTTGGCCAGCCCCACCTAGGACCTCTACTCACACCCTCTGCCCGTGGGTCTTAGGACACCATTTAAGCTCAGGCCTGGGGCTTCAGTCCCTGCCTGAGTTCTCGGGGAAGTGCTGGTTTCCAACTACAGCATATCCATGCTGGTGCCTAGCCATGAACCCTGTTGATCCTGACTTGTGCATTGACTTCTCGGCTTGACCTTGGACCTTCCTCATCACTACGACCTTGTCTGATGTTACAGCCTGCCCCCAGGCATCACCTGCTCCCTGTCTGGGTGCAATGGGATGGTCACTGGCTGGGGGGGGGCCTGGGTGCAATGGGATGTTCACTGGCTGGGGAGGTCCCTGTCCTGCCGGTCTCCCTGGGGACCCCCCACTGTGCCTGGTGCCTGGCCCCAAGGAGCCACCAGCCCACCCAGCATCCTCGTGAGTGGAGAGGAGGCAAGGCACAGGAGCTCACGGAGCGCAGCCAGTTCCTTACCTCTCTGCCTGTGGGTCACGAGCATCACGTGGCCATACTTGCCCCTGCCCAGCTCCCGAATAACTTCATAGTGCTCGGCCACCTCGGTGCGCACCAGGCTCTGAGCTGTGATCTCCAGGAGCTCATCTAGTACAGTTGGTGCTGCTGTCCCTGCCGCTGCCGCAGCTGCAGCTGAGCTCTCAGCCATTGCTGAGCACTGCAGAAACACCACAGCCCGGGTCAGGAACATCACAATATGGACACAGAAAACCAGATGGGGCACGTCATGCAAACCATGCTATGGCAGAGGATATTTCTGCCACTTGGAGCCTGAGCAGTGTCGCAGCTGTGAGCTTGTGCTTTTATACAGTACACCTCTGGGCAAAGCCCCTCATCATATAAGATGTCCCTGTATTGAATGAAACCTCCTTCAGCCCTCTAATCGTCTCTGGCCTCTGGACAGATGCTTGAGTCCAGTGGAGGGCTGCAAGGATGAAGAGGGGACTGGAGCATCTCTCCTATGAGAAAAGGCTGAGGGAACTGGGCTTGTTTAGCCTGAAGAAGAGAAGGCTGCGAGGGGACCTAATATATACTTACAAATATCTGAAGGGTGGGTGTCAGGAGGATGGGGCCAGACTCTTTTCAGTGGTGCCCAG